TGAGTTATGGTTACTAATAAGGAAAGGAGGTGAAGGAATCAGGTGACCTAATCCATAAATTACAGAAAGCAGTAGTATTTGCTGATGGAGTCGCTTTCAAACTTGACATGCACTTGAATCCCTAGGAGAGACTGTTAAAACAGAAAGCTGGGCCTCACCCACAAAGGTTTTGATTCAGTAGGTCTGAGAGGGACTCAGGAATCTGAATTTCTAACAAATTCCCAAGTGATGTTGCTGCTGCTGGTTTGAAACACACACTTTGAGAACCATGGCTTTAATGGAAACAGTAATTACAAAACCAAAGAAGAGCCAGGTGGACACTTAAAGGAAATGGTATCTCCCTATGTAGGTTTACCTCTAAACCACAGAACATTATTACCTGCTCAAGTAACTAAGTTTACATTTCAAACCCCAAGGGATATAACTGATAAAATTAGTAGTTACAGAAATTTCTTTACAAAGATGATCTTTAAAACAAAACAGTCATTTGCCTATTTAAGAACTATTGTTTGAAATTTTGGTACTGACATTCTACTTAAAAAGAAATAATATAAATTCAAAATTTCTGCCTAGAGTAAAATTCAAAACGGGAATTAAAAAAAATCATTGTGTTAAATACAAACACAACCTAATTCATTATTTCCTAAACCAATTATTATTATTATTATTGTTATTTTTGGTGTAGGGGATTGAACTCGGGGCAACACAGAAAGCCCTCACCACTGAATTACAACCCCAGCCCATACCAATTATTTATTTAGTTAGTTCCAAACCCACTATTAAAAAACAAAATATAGTCATATAAAAGAATTCTTTTGGCAAATGTGCTATATTTGTAAGTATTAGCCACTTATTAAAAACACATTTCTATTAAAATTGCATCTAAATTCTTAGAATACTTGATATCTGGACCCAGCTAAGCTTTTATTTTACAGATCAAAATGCATGGACAAAAATACATTACAATTATCAATGAAGTCTTTCTAACTTTGCTTGAAGGGATTTAAAATTCCCAGTGATGGTTTGGACCACTACTGAAGAGCTCATAGACTGGAGTTCAACCAGATAACCACAAACAGCATCCAGGCAGAGATTTGTAAATCTTCTCCTGTAAAGGAAATGATACCGGATCAATTACCTATACATTTAGAAACATTACCTTTTATAGGGTTTCTTCTCTCCAATTCTGCTAATCTTACTTTTAGTCTCATAGAAAAGCAAGGATTACATTAATGGCAAATACTTGAAAACTGAGAAGGACACTTTGGGGGAGGCCAATTACCAAATAACCACAATTTTCCATTTGAAGAATATTATGATGAGGAGTCACTAAGGGATGATTCCTGTTAATATTAAATTATTTATATCGTTTTGGCTTTTTTTGTGTGTGTGGTGCTGGGGATTGAACCCAGGGCTTGTGCATGCAAGGCAAGCACTATACCAACTGAGCTCCCCAGCTCCTCCTTTTGGCTTTATCAAAAGAATAATATTCCTGAAAATGGCCAACCATATCACAATGACATAACTGAAATATCTTAGTACTGGGTCATTAATTTAAAGCAGAAGATGTTTAGAAGTCATTCATAAATGATACATGTTCACTTGTAGAATTGATTAAGGATTGTGTGGGCTGGGATTGTGACTCATCGGTAGAGCACTCGCCTAGCCCATGCGAGGCCCCAGGTTCGATCCTCAGCACCACATAAAAATAAATAAAATAAAGATATCGTGTCCAACTACAACTAAAAAATAAATATTAAAAATTTAAAAAAAAAGAATTGATTAGAATTGCGGCTAAAACACTAAAAAAAATCCCACTTTTCATAAATGCTGATATCAAAAGTTACTGCTGATGTAAACAGGACATAATCTCTAATCCCCACATTTTCCCACATTCTCTCAAAATTTGTTACCCAGGTATTTATTAGAAGCATTTAAAAGCTTTTTCTAGAATACAATATTTAATCATAGTTACCTCTCACAATTTGAAACTTGGTTAGGATTCTCAACATATTTTGCTAATAGTACATGGATACAATCCAAAAGGTGTAGTGGCTTCTTCATTCTGTTCCAGAATGGATCCTATAAAGAATATATGTATATATAGATTAAATGAGTTATAAGGCAAACTGTGTTTAATATTTTGAACATTAAAAACCATGCTGAAATATCTCTTAGGAGGATTTGATGTACTGATGTACTTTGTAGAACATGTAAATGTCCTGCTTAGGAATGTGATGTGAAAGAAAAGTCTATTTATGGGCTGTAATACAATTTTTCTTTGAACTTACGCGAGTCTTACTCTGGCATAATACAAAGACTACACTAGCAGTCACAGAATCTTAAATCTGGCTTCAACAGTTCCTAGTCATGTGACTTGAGCAGGTTAGTTAATGTCTCTGCTCTTGTCCTTTTGCAACAGATAACAAGGATACTACTATTTGCTCATTTCCATCATAGGTATATTATAAGGCTCAAATAAGAAAGATGCATAAGATGCCTTGCAAAGCACTGTGCGATGCTACTATAAAAACAAAAACAAAACATCTAGTTCAACAAGGTTTTATTTGGAATCTTTTAACTTAGTATAAAAATTTCAAAAT